CCACTGTCGCCAAAGTGCTTGCTCATAGGGGGTCATGTGATTGTTGGGTTTTTCTCTGTATGTATTATTGTAGGGTCTAGCTTACAATATAAAGCTTCTTGAGGTGACTGTTGTTGTGATTTGGCGCTGTATAAATAACATTGAATTGAATTGATATGTGGGCAACTGAGCTCCCTTTTAGAGCAGAAAGAACTGAGGGACAGATGAATAGGACAGATCCTCACAGAATGATGCTCAGTGTAAATTAAACAGAAATGCCTTAAACTGAAAGAAAAACTCCCTTGATAATCCCTGGGATAATGACGTCAACAAAATCTTGGAGATTCACGCAACACTTTCATGCCTTTAACCATCACTCAGATTGGCTCTGGGAAAATTAGGCGTTATTTTGCCCGAGGACACTTCCACATGCGGACTGTACAAGATGGGGTTTGTGTCACTAAAACTCTACCTCCCGATACAGCTGCCACAAAGTGATCAAACTAAAAAAATTCTTGAACTGATAGCCACCATCTTGCTACTTAGGTTGTGGTAAAAATGTAAAATGTGGCATTTTTTAAACTCATGACATTTGGTTGGTAATTGTATCTGTGCAGTTTTTGTGTAATTTAGAATTTATTTCAAAATAACTTCCTGAAAACTGCCAGGTGTGTCTCAAGAGCTGACAGGACTTGATGGTATCATCCCATACCTAAAAGCATTGCCTCTTGCCTAATGTCTTGAGTGAGTTTGAAAGGAGTTTGATTGTCAGGTGTTCACTGTTCATCATCAGCGTGTCGTTAATTTAATCCAACAAACACTCCAGACTGCTCAACAGCGACGTGTGGTGTCCCAAGTGTGTCACCTCTGCTTAATGGTCATCTCGCTGCCCAGCTTTAGTCATTCCTCTTGATTTACAACCATTTGGTGGATATGGATGAAGAGGACAGCTGCAAAGGGTTGGCGCTGCTTTAACTTATCAAAAACACTGTATTGTCACTCAACCATCTGAGGTTTTGTCATCATCGATGAAAACACTTACAGACATTCAGAATATCTCAGTTTTGGGCCTTTTTA